GGGCAGCTGGGCATGAGGCCTGGGGGTTTTCTGTGGAGAAGCTGCAGGCCTCTAGCTTGAGGGGTTGTCCAAGCTGGTTTTTTTTCCCTCAGAAGGTGAATAAAAGCCTTTTTGTATATCTTGGGTCGTGCCAGAGTGCCCGTGAGTGCTCTTGTGATGTTTAGGAGGCTGGAAACTTCCTGATGCTGCCGGTGGGCTCACGAGTGTCTCTGTTTGCTCACGAAGGAACCCGTGCTGTGAGGCTTGTTTACTTGGATTTTATTTCCTGTTTTTGAAAGGGTGCCTAGTGCCTGTCTGCAGAGGTTGTGGCGCACAATCTCCTCTGAGCTTTTGGAGGCTGATTTCTGTCGTATAACCAGAAAACTGTCAGCCTTCCTGCTGGGCTTCTCTCTTTAGACAGCCCTTCTGTGTGTGCTGCAAATAAAGCTGCTTCTGCCTGCTTGTCTTGTTGCAGATCGTGTCTGGAATCAAGTACATCATGAAAGTTGAGATTGGCCGGACAACTTGCCCCAAGCCAGCAGCTGATCTCCAGAGCTGTGCTCTCCATGAGGAGCCGCAGATGGCTAAGGTAGGCTCCCAGGGCTTCTAACCTCTTCCCTCTGGCTGGTTTAGTACAGAGAGGTGTGGCAGTATCCCTTGCCTGCCCCAGCTGAGATCACAGACCTTATGCCTTTACGCTTGGGAGTTTAGAGCCCTTGCACAACTTGTCCTGCCAGATGATGGTGACAGAGAAGGCGCAGCCTTCTGTCCTGTTTTGTAAGTGGGCATCTGAGGCTGTACTGCATGGAGGACTGTGTGTGCCTCTGTCCTCCTGAAGAGTGCTTGTGGTCTGGATCACAAGGACATGTTGTGGAAACTCTGCCAAGCTTACAGGTCTCCTGGCTCTCAGTCCTGTCCTGAGTCCCCATGCCATTCTTGGATCCTGTTGTCCCATGGTGATGTAAACATGCTTGACTTGCCAGGCTTTCCTGGGGGACTTATTACTGTGAATAGTGCTTTGGGCTAAGCAGTGATCACAAGAGGCAGATTACCCGGTCCTCTGTGCCCCTCAAGCTGTTACACAGGTGATTTGTCTCATAGCAATGCTCTTTGAGGAGTACTTTAGCTTTTCAGATAGAGCACCAAATAACGTCTGTCTTGATCTGACAAGTGCTGACTGCTCAGCTTTTCTGTTAGCGTTTCTTCGGGAGAAATGGCTCATCCTGAGCAAGTACTAACAAGAGTGGTGTTCCAGAATGCTTGTGAGGGGAGGGGAAATCTAGGGAGCCGTGGAAGTGGGATACTTTCAGGATCATGTGGGCTAGTAAATCAGTGGGAAACAATGGTCAGTGAACACTGTTTTATGCTCTTAATCTGATAACTGCTTTTTTTTCTTTTCTTTCTCTCCTTAGCACACCGTTTGCGACTTCGTAGTGTACACTGTTCCTTGGCTAAACCAAATTAAACTGCTGGAGAGTAGATGCGAATAAGCCTACCTTTGTTTAGCAGAGACCAGCAACCAGTAGCTCAGATTAAAAAAAAAAAAAAAAAACAACACAAATTGAGATGGGTTTTATCAGTGACTGTTAACTACCTGTATATGCTTGTACTACGCAAGTTAAACTATGTAACTTTCCTGTAAAGCACAGTATGATCTCAACTTTGTTTTTCTTCTTTGCAATTACATTTTAGAGCAGCTGTTTTGGTCTTCCTATAGCTTTCCCAATAAAGTAACTCCCAACACCAGAATTCTGATTAAAAAAAAACAAAACCAACACTTAGTATCCCTGTTAAGTGACTACTGTAAACATTAAAAAACTTAATTAATAATTGCTGTGAGGTGTGGTTTTCTTTCAGCTTTTGCTGTCTTGCAGGGAGGGCTTGCTTTTGTTTCTGACCTAGTCTATCAACCCTGAAGAATGGGGTGAGAAGGAAGGTGGGGAATGGACCATCCTTCCCTGTCCTTTGACCTGGTTTCAAGTAAGAGATGGAAGTCTTTAGCTGTTTTCACTGAAGAAACATTTTCCTTTTGAGAACACTGTCGTATACAATGCTTGATCTGGGGGAGGTTTAGACAAAGCTTGTACTAAGCCCATGATCATTTTGGCATCCTGGCTGCTCTGTGGTTGTGTTGTGGGGCTGTATGTGTTTATGGAGCTGCGTTGTGTAAGAATTAACCACTCTAGTGTCTTCCTGCACTGCCTTTGGGGTGTTTTAGGAACCTTTCCTTCCTCTGGCAGCTGGTCTTTGCAGGTTTTATGCCTGGCTTTTCCGAGCAGAAGGCCCCAGGGCTTTCCCTCCAGGCCGAGCAGCAGCATGGCTCACTGCATTTAGAACCTGAGCTGTGACCAGTGGAGCTGGAGGAACAGCTTCTTCAGGGCTGTGCCCAGCCCATCACAGCTGTTTACAAGCAGAGATGGGTGCAGAAATGCCTGGAGTGGGTCAGTGACAAGCCTGTCTCAGGGGAAGACCGAGTTGCTATTAATGGGGGGAAGCTGGAAGGATTTCTGATCTGGCCAAACACCTTTAAATCATTAGGCACCTGAGGACTGGCTGAGATGTTTCCTATTAAACTGTGGTGGGTTTGTATTGCAGGGTTATTTGGGATACTGTGCCTGCATGGAAAAGACAGGTGACCCTGATAACCTGTAACTGATGTAGCCTGAGGACAGCCTCGTGCAAAGATGGTGGGAAAGTTAATAGCTGGTGTTAAGAAGTGTAGTTCTGTAGCAAATGGGTCTTGTCCACAAACCCTGGCTTTGTTCTGTGAGTGTGGATGGATGTTCCCCAGAATCAACCCTCTAAATCCAAGGTATCTTGACAAAAGCTGGCACAGCCCCATCTTCAGGCAAGGAGGGGCTCAGATCTAATGAAGGAGAGCGAAACAAGACTCAGTAACCAGAAAATGAGCTTCTAATGGGATGTACAGCTTTTTACGAGTGCGTCTTCTGTGAGCCGCTCTTTCTCCCAAGGGAAATGCCACCTCCCACCCTTGGTTGGATAAGTTTGTGGGGAGCACAAGGCCAGATCTTGATTCACATTGTCAGGGGGATAAGCTGCTCGCCTGACAGCAAAGATCTCCATCCAGGACGTGCTCAGATCCAACAGGAATTATTCTCCCTGCTTCTTCACCGTCATTGCCCTCGTTCCTCCTGAGGGCCGTGCACGAAGGTGACCCGTTTCTCTTGACAGCCAGGTTAGTGACTCTGCAGGTGTCCGCCTGGGTCGGTAGCCCTGCTGACTGAGGAACTCCTGGTGCCAAGCTGCTCAGGTGCCCTCAGTTGCCATTTTTCTAACTATTGCCTTCATGTGTACATGCTTATTCCCCTTTTTCCAGCCCATACATACAAGCACTGGGCAATGGTGAAGGGGCTGTTGTGCTTTTGGTGGGTTTGCCTGTGTTTACCTTTTAGTTTCTCCTTAGTAAGGAGACTCGGGAAGAAATGAGGATGCAGGTGGATGTAACCAGACATTTTCATCACTTTAGCTGTATTTAGCCAGCAGCTCCAAACAGAGTGTGGGGAAAAGAGCGGCCGTGACAGAGAAAACGAGAGTTGGGGCATTACAAACTCTGGAATTCAAAGGTATTGCGTTTTCCCGTTGAAATCCCAGTGATTAAGGGCATGAATTAATGGCACAGATTACCCCATCCTCACAAGCTGCTGAGTGTCAGCTGTGGTGACTGTCCCTGCCGAGCAAATGCCAAACGGGCTGACCTAATTTAAGCACTGTCCGCTGTGGCCTGTGTTATTTTGCATTTGCAACAGGCTAAGAGCATTAGTGGGAGTTTTCTGCCAGGAGCGTTGTGCTTGGCAGGCCTTTCTGCTTGGCTGGCTGGCCTCAGTTCAGTGAGCCGAACACCGAGCCCTCGTTTTCAGCTGCATTCGCTGCCTCTTTCAAATGTTGGTGACAGATGTGAAGGAGTGACCAGGGAAGTGCTGTCTTCTTCTTGTCTCTTGTGCTTTGCTTGCACCTGACAGATCAGTTCTGGGGTCATGCTTCCTTCAACTTAGGCGGGGTCAGAGCTTTGCTGCTGCAGCTCACAAACCCAAAGCTTTTTCCTGCCTCTGGGACTCAGGGAGAGATTTAGGACCAAACGGCCGAGAAGTGCAGCTCTCCTTAGCAGCGCCTGTGCCTGCAGACCCGTATTCATGTGCTCTTGTAGCTCCCAGCTCTGCAAAGCACAGCTGAGACACAGAGCTGTGAAAGTCAGGATGTTTTTGGAGTCTGTGGGCATTGCTGGTGTGCCACAACTTCAGCATGCTCATTTGAAGACAATGGGACGGTACCCTCATTAGCGGGAACAGGCGGAAGTGTTGGTCTCCCCTGAGCAGGCTGGCAGTGCTCAGCCTGGCTGGCGTTTTTGAAGGGCATCTCGTACGAGTGGGAGTCTGGGATAAGAAGCAGCTTTACCATGAGAATTGCAGAGCCCAGTGTTGAGAAATGGGGTGCAGGTTGGCTTTGGCTTTTTTACCTTCTCTGGGACCCTCACGCACACACCTCCTCTGCCCATAGCCTAGGATCTCATTTAAGCTTAAGCCTGGGTCCCGTGTCCCTGTCTAGATATGTCATTATCTCCAGCCCTGGCTGCTGCATGGACAGACCTTGGACCTGCCTTGAGGCTTTGTCTCCAGCCCTTTCTCCTCCTCCAGACTGGGCTCCCTGGAGGGACCCTGGTCATGGTTCATCCCCTGGCTGTGTCTGGGGCTGTTGCTGGACCCTGTCGCACGCGGCTCCACCGGCCATGCTGGTACGCCGTGGGACTGTGCCCTGCTGGGGAGGGCATGGCCAGCGCTGGGGCCCCCTTGGCTCCTGGCTCATCCCCTCCTCCTGCTGCTCCCTGGGACGTGTCCCCGCGGGGCCTTTCTGATATCCTTGAAGCTCTTGAGCACTCCTGTCTGGTACGGACACTTCCCTCTGCACATGGCCTGAATTGCAATTTCCTGCAATTATGACAGCAAGCGATGGTGTGAGGATCTGGGTCACCCTGCAGCCCCAGGGCTGGGCCACCGATGCTTGCTTAGCCTAAGGCGTGGAGACCTCTTAGTGAATGTTTGAAGATGCTGGATGGTTTGTATTCATCATTAAAAGGCAATGCCTTAGAATCGCTGCAGTGTGAATCCTTCAGGAGATCAGGTTCACTGGCCAAACCCACATCCCATTTTGAATCTTGGTGCTTTATCTGTTGATGATGACACCAAGAGAGGGAGGAATTCAGATCCCTTTCCTTGCGTGATGCAACGGTGGTCCAGAGATCATTTCTGCAGGGTCGAGCAGGAAAGTGTCTGAAGTTGGTCACCGCTGACGATGCTGGGCCCCGCCACAAGTCTCGTCACCCAGCTTTGGTGGTGGCCCGCTGGTGAGAAGGTGGGAGGGCAGGTTCCTGCTTCTCTCCGGGCAGCCTGGTCCCAGGCTCAGCAAGGAGGGGTAAGGAGGGCTCCTGGTGCCTGCCTGGCTCCACGGTGCAGACCCCTCACGAGCCCCTTCCTGCTGTCCCCCTCTGGCACAGGGCATGGCTCGGTGTGGACCCTGGGGCAGGACCCAGGGCTTGAGCTGACACTTGCTAAAGCCCTTCTCCAGTGTTGCTGGGATGGCATTGCCCAACCTCCGTGGGCTGGTAGGGTTTCGCAACAGGGAAGAAAAGGAGAAGCTCAGCTGCTGGTCTCCAGGATGAGCCGGTGCACGAGTGCTGGGGTGTGTGTGTGCTGGATGCCATTTCTGACCTTGCTGGAGATGGGCGAGGCTGTGTGTGTTCGTAGGACTGACCATGGGGAAACCTTTCTCCATTTCCAGGTGGAGAAAAATCCCCCAGTGACTCATGATGCCCTCGTCGTGCCGCGCCTTGCTGGGCATCATACCTTGTGTCATGCCATCTCCACCCCTTTTATTTTCAGCGCCCGGGGTGATCTGGCTCCAGCGGGGGTGAGGCCATCATCAGCAAGGGAGGGCATCTCCTGGCTGGTGTCTGCCGGCGGGTGACACTGGAGGTGACTCTTGCAGCTCCTCTTGCAAACAGGCGTCCTGGCAGTTCACAGTCTGTAGGGGACACTAGGTGGCAATGTCACCTCATCCTCCCCCCGTTAACCTAGAGAATGACAGGGGAAATAAATGGAAAGAAGATCAGAATAAAATCTAGGTGTGTAAACATTATATCAATTAAAGTAAATAATCATGGGAGCAGATAGGAACAAATATTGAGTGCGGAAAAGTGGGAATTCTGCCCCAAGTGACTCTTCTGAAGTAAATGTCTGCATGCAGTTGGCTGCAAGGTGATCCCACACACAAGCCAAACCCAGCAGGACCATCTCTGTCCTCCCAGGGGGTATGGGTGCCACAAAGGGCACTCGCCCCAGCTGGAGAAGAAACTGGGGCTCAGGCCTGGCCAGGGAATTGATTGTATATCTTGGATATAAAAGTCAGGATGAAGAGTCGTTTCGGGTGAGGTAGTGATGTTTGCACTGAGCATCCCCCTCTCCCTCGTCCCAGGTGA